AAAATTTAATAACTTTTGATTTAAAAAATGTCAGATTAGAAATAAATTCATTATATATCAGGTCATCCCATAAGTTCTGTCCGAATTTTGAATAAAGAAAACAAGTGACCAAATGTTACATTTAATTACAGATTCAATCAACAATGTATTTTCCCTGATTATCTATAACATCCTTCCATCTATTAACAAGCTTACTAACTCAATTACTGTAAAATTCTTTTGGCTTTGATTCGAAGAACTCACAAATTTTCGTTTTAACCTCTTCCTGTGTTACAAAAGCTGTTCTTTCCAAATGATTCTGCAAGCTACGAAACAAAATATAGTTTTACGGAGCAAGATCGGGAGAATAAGGTGGATGAGGAATTTTCTCCCAACCAAGTTCTTCGATCTTTTGTGACGTGATTCTTGCAGTGTGGGGTCATGCATTGTCCTGATGAAACATCACCTCTTTTCGATTCACTAGAGCAGGTTTTTTTCCTCAAAGCTTGATTCAAACGCTCTAATTGCTGACAGTATATTTGAGCATTAATTGTTGCATTGGGTGGTAAGAATTCAAAGTAGATTATTCCTTGGCGATCCCACCAGACTGAAAGAAGAAGCTTTTGCCCATGAATTTCCATTCTAGGCTGTGGTCGGAGTCCTTCCCCTTTACTAAGCCACTGTCTACGACGCTTAACATTTCGATAAAAGATACATTTTTCGTCGCCAGTCACAAGTCTATCCAAAAAAGGTGAAACAAGTGGCGAGAATGGAGAGAAGAGCAGATGTGAACTCTGGATTTGAGCTTGTTTTCAGACAATTCATGAGGCACCCATTTTCCAAGTTGTTGATGATGACGATGAACAGTTGTATGGTTTGAACTGAAAACCACTGCCAATACGTCAACTGATAAAGCAGGATTATCTTCAAGGTCTGCTTCAAGAAACTTTTCATCAAAATCAACTGGACGTCCGGTTCGATCTTCATCTTCAAGGGTGAAATCTCCACCTCTGAATTTTGCAAACCATCTTCTGCAAGTTCTTTCATTCACACATTCCTCTCCATAAACTGAGTGAATGTTTCTAGCCGCTTCGGCTGCTGAGTTTCCTTTCTTGAACTCATAAAGCATTATGTGCCTCAAATAATTATTGGGTACTTCCATGTTAGCAGGGTTTTAATCAAACAAAATTTAATTTTATTGTTCTCTGAAATAAAATTTGATCATTTTAAATGCATCTAAACATAAATGTAATCTTCAGCTCCATTAGATATTATAAAAATAAATAAATACTCTTTAAATTTCGTTCACTTTAACAAAAAGTTAAAATTCGGACAGAACTTATGGGATGACCTAATATATATATATATATATATATATATATATATGTGTGTGTGTGTGTGTGTGTGTGTGTGTGTGTGTGTGTGTGTGTGTGTGTGTGTACCAGGTATACCAGCAAAATTGTCCAAATCTTGTTACGGCATAATTGTCCATCCCACAAGGTGTTTAATATCTAAAAAAACAATGGTTTTCATATAAGACGTTTAGCCATCTTGACAACATTTGTTGTAAGAATCAATGAAAAAAGCTTTGAGTTATTCAGCTAGAAATAGAGCGGGATGAATTCGTTTTGTATGAGACCCAGTATGTCATCCCAATTGAGCAATGGTGAGAGGAAAAGCTCTTTCAGGCCTTCAGTAATGGTACTAACATTCATACTCTGGTTTCCATCTTCAAAGACCATTCAAGAACTATCAACAAAACGGTGAATAATTTTAAAAAATAGGTCACAACAGCAAGATGGATCATCATTCAATTTAGAGCTAAATATATTCTTATTGTTCAAAATAGAGTTATAAAGACCTCGAAGAATTCCAGTAAGATACCTTTAATCATTTCTAAGATACACCGGTTCAGATTATTTTGCTGTTACACCGGTTATATATATATATATATATATATATATATATATATATATATATATACTCACACACATATTTCGAGAAAGAGTGACTAAGAAATTGTTATGGGACCTTACCCATAATAATAATAATGGACTATTCCATACTTACTAAATACTACGCCTCAGGAGTAGGCAAGGAATCAGTCAGTAGTTCACTACAGACTATTCGGTTCAACTCTCTGTCTACGGACGGAGAGGAACCCGAAGGAGGCTCCGCCGAAATGCGGAGTCTCCTTCGGGGAGGTTAAACCGTCCCTGAACCCGTTTATGCGGGTTCAAACGGGCATATTTTAGGGCCGAGCCCACGGGCTCGGGTAAACCCACAATAAATAACCGACCTTGTGTCACATGTTGCCCCAGTGGGGGGGAGACTGAATATTATCAGTCAGTAGTTCAAGTCGAGTCAAGTGTCGAGTCAGAGGCAGGCCGAAACAGAGTCGCGTTCAGACAATTACTGCAAGACATTGGAATAGTGATACTGGTCGAGACTGCATTGTTCTCTCTACTAAACCTGATTGTTCATACTAACACTTCTACTTCTCTGTATATATTCCTGTTTGTAATATATCTGTGTTATTCCATACCTGTGTTCGAGTTCTTCTTCATTGGTTCTACCTTGGACTATCACCGTGATACAACGAATCGGACTATAACAGAAATACACGCACACACACACAGAGAGAGAGAGAGAGAGAGAGAGAGAGAGAGAGAGAGAGAGAAACAAAGACTAAAGGAGAGATGGGGATACCGAGCTAATAAAACATATGGACTTTTTAAGCGATCAAAAAACTCTATGTTAATGTTTGCTTAAGTCGTGAAACTGCTAGGCATTCAGTTTTGATTTTGTGTCCATACCGTTTATATCTCTAAGCATTAGATTATATCCTGAAAACTGAACGATAAATATAACAATTTCTAAACAACATAAGTGTGCAACATATTATAGATACATGCATCATGTACTTTTGTCGTCATACATAGCAAACTCCAGATCCGAAATCACGAATTAATCTTTGACATTTGATTCATTATTTTTCCCTTCTATTTCACTCCACGCTCACATGGGCGCTTCTTCATCGATATATGTTGGCAGTTCATTGGTGAAATCACTGAGAACTACACACATTTAAATTAATGTCATGCGATGTGGTTATTAAGGGATTTCTATGGACTGAAATCCTTCTCGATTAGAATTACATGGTCCGTGAAATAGCGTAACAGTAACGATAGTGCATACGTGACGGTAGATGGTTTGCATCTATTTGTTTGGTCTAAATGCCGACTTGCGTTTGTTTAGTGGATGAGACGGACGCGCGTTTGCCGTGGCCGCCATTTGTTATTCTTCAGGCGGTGATCAACATTGGAATCTCGTGGCGTTTTGAACTGAAAATTCGCGCTGTCTTTTGCGCACAATTACATATTCATAAAAATCTGTCTTTGGCACTTGCATTTCGTTACATTGTATTTCTATATGACTATTTTAAGGATATATATATATATATATATATATATATATATATATATATATATATATATATATATATATATATATATATATGGAGATAGCATAACTTTATTCAAACTTGTTTCATTTAATGACATAGACATATTCTGTATACTTATTTTATAATGATCATTTCAAATAGTCTAATCAATTTCTTGATGTTAAGATGAAATTCATCAAGGAAGGTGCCATAGTTTTTTAACACAAGTACTTTCGACATTTTCTAAGATCATCTTCAGGGCTAAATTGCAAAACATTTTACAATATATTTGTTTGTGTGTGTGTGTGTGTGGAGGGAAATATATGACCAATTGGAAAAGTATATTTTCCTCAATATTGTTATTGATATATACAAATGTGTTATATAGGAATAGTGTGTTGCTGCCGATCCTTGAGTTTGAACATAGATGGCCAGTGAGCAAACACGGGTGATCCTATGATTGAATTAAGTAGATCACGTGACCAAAGAGGCAACGCATAAGTAGGAAGCTAGCGTGACTTCTAATTGGTCGTTATTTCTACTCTATCCTCTATTATTATTCGTACCGCTGTTCTCTACTCTAGTCACTGTACTAGTTCTCTATTCGGATCACTATACGGATTACTATTCGAGCGGGTATTATCGAGCAAGTACTATTAATGCGAGTGTTATTCGAAGGCGTCAGACACCGATATTGTTCATCAGCGTTACTATAGTTGTATCTGCGATTACAAAGACTCTACTACAACGAGCATTACAAAAGTGACAACAAGAATTCGTTGGCATTACAAAAGTGTCAACCGGGTATTCGTTGACATCACAAAACATGTATACATCGTTATCACACACACACACACACACACATATATATTGTTTGTTTTTCATGGCTTATCATCCTTTTGAATATCATTTAAAGCCAGAAATTATTTTTGATCTTGATAATTTATTGCATATGGTAATCATTCACTATATACTAATTAACCCATAGCTGAGGGAGAAGGAGCGAATTCATGCCTTCCCTAAGAGAAATTCCGCATAAGTTAATACAACGAATACGACTGGTTTGGAAACCGGGTGTCCAATTTCCAATTCCAAGACGTTATCCATTCCACCACCTGCATATCAAAGCGTACAGCACCTAGTGTTCTTTAGCGGTTATCCATCAAGGTCCTGACCATGCTCGACGGTGTTTCAAGTTGGTATTGCTGTAAGCCAGATAGATAGATAGATAGATAGATAGATAGATAGATAGAAACAGAATAAGATAGATATGAACAGGATGCGAAAGAAAGAAAGAAAGAAGATAAGATAGATATGAACAGGATGAGATAGATAGATAGATAGATAGATAGATAGATAGATAGATAGATAGATAGATAGATAGATGTTCATGCCATATTTGCTGGCTCTGATTGGGTGCCGTATTGGATGCATTCTTATGGAATCCATGAAACGGAAAGGGAAGTAATGAATGAACACCCGGACGAGAAAGAGAAGAAATTTTCCCGCCATAAGGGAGCCAAGTTTCGATATCGAGTAAACAACAAACAAACATGGCTGGAAATGTTTCTTGCATCTATAGCTTTCCTTTTCCCGTTTTACGCGTGAGCTTATTTTGTTTCTCGAGTAAAACAAAGGTAGACCATAGATTTATATGTATTTTTTCTGTATTACTGACTTCAGGTTCTGCACGGGAGCCCATTAAATTTTAATATCTTCCTCGCTTAAATTTTTGAAAATTTTTTTGCTTAATGAACTGGCTTTGTGGTACTGGTTAGAAAGGCGGAAGATGGAATCGGAAAGCTGAGTTTAAATTCCGGCCTAGTATGTTGTGTTCGCTTTTAATCTGATGCTTTTTAAAAAGGCATGAATCTCTCTTGTCTTCCCATTATTTGTTAAATAGCAGGGGAGCGAGATCTATCCGCCAGACTGATGTGCATTTTGATTGGGTTCGATCTGAATTTTTTAAAAAAATGTGGAACAAGCAACATGTAAAAACATTACTGTCTTTTCTAAAAAGAAAGGCAAATGACAGCTAATTAAGAAAATAGTATCTTTGGAGAAGCCATAATGATCTTCACCATTGAAATATATAGCATTAACAATCAATCTTAGGATTAAACTTACTAAAAATAGAAAGAAAAAGACGAGAAGAGGTTTATAAACTTGTATCAATGATAAAACCTGAAAACAAGAAATACCCAGAAAATAATGTGTCGTAGGAGAGATCTATGGTAGAAATTTTTTATCCTCCCATTTGTATTCCCGCCATTATGGGCATTCTTATTGTTGAAACTTGAATAAAGCATGGAATAATAATAATACAACACAAAATGTACTTAAACAAAATGTATTGAAACAAGAAAGGGTACACAATATTTACAGATAGTTTTGGTATATTCTTGGAAAGACCGTTCCTGTAGAATGGGTTGACTTAGTCGCAGTCGGGCAGAGTCTCTGGATTGGATCTCTTCTTCCTTCCCCCGTCTTCCCGGTACCAACCATATTTATAAGGTCGGTACTCCACTATGCAAATTAGGTGGATCCTACCACAACACTTATCCTGTCGGTGATATAACAAGACCATAGTTCGCTGACGAAGCATAATGGCTGAAATGAAAATGAACCAACATGCGTTGTTCTCAAAGACACTTTTATATCACTAACACATACAAAATCTTATATACCGTGTGTAACAGCAAAATTGTCCAAATGATTTAAGATCAGAAAATGCTTAATATCTAAAAAAAAAAAAAAAATACATAACTAATTGAGTTACATTTTTTCAAGGTTTTCAGATAAGTCGTTTAGCCATCATGACACCATTTATTGTAAGAATGACTGAAAAACACTTAGAGTTATTCAGCTAAAAATATTCAGTAATGGTACTAACATTCATATTCTGGCTTCCATCTTCAAATTCCATTAAAGAACCATCAACTCAACAGGAAATAAGTTTTAAAAAGCGGAAACAGTAGAGTGGAAAATTGGATCAGAAGGTTAGTGCAAGAAGAAAGATCATCATTTCAACTTAGAGCTAAAGCGATCCATTAGAAAAGATCCAACTCAATTCATAAGACATTTTGGCGCGTGAAAGAGGCGTTTCACCTACGACAGTCCAAAGAGCAATGAAAATAGACTTGAAGATGATACCAAACGTGCAACATTTGAGTCATCTTGTTACACCAGGACAGAAAGTTAGAAGGTAAGAGAGGGCGAAGATCATCTCGAATAACTTGCAAAATGATCCTGGAATAATAAATATATGTGTGAACTTTATTTCAGTATTTCATGAGCTTCCGATCCTTAGCTATGATGAACATGTAATTTTCGTTTATGATCATTTTCATCACGGTTCTTCTATTAAACTTGGAGAGTAATTTGATATTCTTATTGCTAAAAGTAGCATTCAGTTTTGTTATAAAAACCTCGGAGAATTCTAAAAAGATATCTTTAATCATTTCTAAGATGATTTTAATCTAACAACTGGACAATTTTGCTGTTAAGCGATTTGAACAATTTTGCTGTTACAGTTGGTGTCTCTGTTCCTCTCGAGGTCTCGAGTAAGCTTGTCAAAATAGACGTCAATGCCGGAAACTTCAATACGAGTCATGGGTTTCACTAAATGTTATACCAAAACATTACCTATTCTATTGTAATAGACACTCCCACAGATAATAAGTAGTAGTAGCAGTGGCCAGTTGGGCTCAGTGGTCTTGAGCGGTCTTTGACTGTCGAACTCTCTGCGTAAGCAGAGAGGAACCCGGACGAAGATTTGCCGAAGGGCAAGGTTTCGTCCGGGGAGGTAGACAGGGCCTGAACCTGTCTAATCGGCTTCAAAGGCTATTTTTTTGGCCGAGCCTACGGGCTCGGGGATACCCACAATAAAACCGGCCTTGTGCCATATTCGTTTCCCGTGGGTGAAATGATAAATACTCAGTGGTGTTGAGCGAGTAAGTCGATGTCGGACATTGAAGTGTCAACCATCACAACTAGATTGCTGCCATATTTATTCTTATTTAAAGTTCCTAACGTTTTGTACGTCGAACCTAATTTAGGACGACTTATTGAAATACAAGCCTGCACTGTGAAAACTACTCTACAACACTAAACTAGCCATGAACAAAGATCTTTGGGATCAGATGTATGTGTGAGAGCTACCGGTGATAATGGATAAACAACAATAGGGACTGCTCCGTAAAGGAATAGAATTTTTTTCGCTGAAAAATTGTTGTATCCGACGTTATGTTCTTGATAAATAAAACAACCCAAACTGTTACATTATCATCACTTGTGGTAACAAATTTGTAGACATCTCATAATTATTATAAGATTTTTTTAAAGCCACCAATAAAAAGAAACGTTCTTTTTTTATGCTTCTTTATTAAGCACCGAATTGTTTCTTTTTCTGATTTACCCTTTTTAAAATAAGAGTTCGTAAATTTATTTTATCTGTTTTATTTTAAGGCAAAGAACTATTTTTATCGTCGAAATTATCTTACAGATTTGGGGGATGAATATTTTATTTAAAAATAAATGCTTTCCTATAATTGCTTCAATGGTATCTTTCTTATTGTATGATAGTCATGAGTAAAGACAAAATATTAAAATCTTTGCATCTGTTGGATACTGCAAGACCTTGTTCCTTTGACACTGTGTCTTTTAATTCATTTAAAATTCAAAGACATTTAATCAATTATTATTTTTTGGCAACACTAGATGTAAATTTGAATTGTCTTCCATGGTATTTTTCATAAGTTAATATTATGGTGTATTAAAAGTATTTGCGATACACATAAAGAAAAAGTGTTCCAATAACTTGGACCAATTTTAAAGGTGAATTAAGTTGAAGCGTTTAATGATTTTTTTCTTTTTCTTTCAGATTTGGCGGACATTTGGGCGATATTATTTTTCACGCATAATTACCATGACTTAAATAACATGATCCAAATAGAGAAATAAATAAATTTTCACCAATAACACTGATTTATTTACAGCTGGCTTTGATCCATCTTAATGAAACGACCTTATATATAATCCGTCTTAATGAAACAACCTTTACTATTATTATTTAGCGAGAGAACACTATTTGAACAAAGTAACACTGCTTTCGAAATATATATATATATATATATATATATATATATATATATATATATATATATATCAGACAGGTATGTGCCATGAGTGATACACGCTTAAGCGATCATGTATCTTTCGATACATAACTGACGAGTCAGATATTTCCCGCAGTATGTTGCCAATTCTTTCAGCGGTAGACCAATTACCATCCAAGGGTATAGAACCCGGACTGTCCTGCTATTTACCCATAGCTGGGGGGAGAAGAAAAGGTTTCATATGTTTCCCGAAGGGTATTAGCACGTATGGGAATGTAATGGATTCGACTGTAATTCGAACTCGACTCTCGGATTCCTGAATCTCTCTCCCTCCCTCCCTCTCTCTCTCTCTCTCTCTCTCAATATATATAATTTCAATGAAGAAATGAATTGAATAAACATATATATTTTTTCTTTTCTCAATAATTTTGTAGTTTTTAAACTTAATAGTGATTAAATTTGGATTTTAAAATTGCCAGTTTTTAATTTTAATATTAAATTTTATCATATAATTTTATAATTATTGGTTAGTATAAATTATTTTTTTAATATTACACGTATTTAAATATCTGAATAGCTATTATAACATTATTTCGTTGTCAAGCTTTTGAATGTTTTTATACTTGGTTTTGATTGGTTATTCTAGCTTTTGTAACAATGTTTTTCCCTAGTGTAGGATCGTTAATTAATCTGAAACTTTTAAAACCATTTATTTTCTTTTCAACATCATCACTTGATAAGACACAGAGTGTGTTGAAACAAAATGGCTATTTTTGTAGTGATTTTATAACATACTTATATTATAATTTTTTTTTTATAAAAAATAATTATATATATATATATATATATATATATATATATATATATATATATATATATAAAATGGATTCGGTCCATATTGCAAGTACGTTCGGTAAGCATATAACATCCTCAGGCGTAGATTTTTTTTTTTTTTTTTTACTGTCTCAGGTAATTTCGGTTAAAATTCTCCGACGAAAATGAATGTGATACTTGTTCAAATATATTTTTTTTTATTATTAACAGTTAAGAATAATTAAGAAAAAAATAACAAATATGCCTGAGGATGGTATATACTTATCAAAAGAATTTGCAATATGGACCGAACATAAATTATTTTGGATATGTGTTATATGTTTTGAATAACGTGAGGTTATGCATTTAACCGTTTACTTTTTCTTTTTTTTTAGTATTTTTGAGGTCATGTATCTTGACTGGTTAACGCAGTAACTCTTTCAGGTAAGGAGATATTGGAAAGAATATGATGGGAAAGTGACCGAAGACAAGATGTCAGGTCAGAACCATTAACATTGCAGATTCTTCTTTGATTTTATCAAAAATCTCTAAGTATATAACTGGAACACCAGATGTGGCAGCAATATTACGTTATTGTGCATATTATTATTATTAATATTATTATTATTATTGTTGTTGAAACTTG